CATACTGACCATACCTAGAGTTACCTAGAGCACTATATAGCTCCTACGGAGCAGAGTAGCGCAATCATTTGAATCTCGTGTTTTGCCGACAAGATGGCCGACAGAGCGGCTCGGCCCAATACCACCTAGAACAATTTTTTTGCTCGGCCGGCTCGGCGCGAGTCACGTGGTACTCAGGGTTCCAAGAGGCGGCTCGCCCTATGGGAGAATACATGGAGATCGATACAACACGGCTGATTAAAAAATGAACGGCGAGTTCACACTTTTCAAAAGTAGTCTGTCGTGAAGTTAGTAAAGCACTAAACACTTTGTCAAAGTTTTAATAATATCGGATGCGTGTGCAAATTTTGAAAAGGCAATTTTCAAGGCAATGGCGTTTGAAGCAGACGATTTTTGCTGGCAGCGGAGATGAGCTTTTCGGGTTGGCCCTTGGGTTGGCCGGAGCGGGTCACGTGAATGGTGTGACGTCGCCGTGTCGTCTGCTGCATGATGCCGCTCAAGCAATTTTTAAAAAAAAGTCAGGTTCTTGCGGGTCACAAAACTTAGCGCAAATTATTCTAAAATGTTTCATTATTATGTCACAAACGATTGCCATTCCGTATATTCCCACAATACTGAAGAAACAACGATTTTCTCACGTTCTCCATGCATTTCTGACCGCAGTTGGAACTAGAGCACTATATAGCTCCTCTCCTACGGAGCAGAGTAGCGCAATCCTTTGAACTCCGTGTTTTGCCGACAACATGGCCGACAGAGCGGCTCGGCGCGAGTCACGTGGTACTCAGGGTTCCAGGAGGCGGCCCGCCCTATGGGAGAATACATGGAGATCGACATAACATGGCTGATTAAAAAACTAACGGCGAGTTCACATTTTTCAAAACTAGCCTGTCTTGAAGTTAGTAAAGCGATAAACACTTTATCAAAGTTTTAATAATATCGGATGCGTGTGCAAATTTTGAGAAGGTAATTTCCAAGGCAATGGCGTTTGAAGCAGACGATTTTTGCTCGCAGCGGAGATGGGCTTTTCGGGTTGGCCGGAGCGGGTCACGTGAATGGTGTGACGTCGCCGTGTCGTCTGCTGCATGATGCCGCTCAGGCAATTTTTTAAAAAAAGTTACGTCCTTGTATGGCACAAAACTTATCGCATATTATTCTAAAATGTTTCATTATTATGTCAAAAATGATTTCCATTCCGCACATCCCCACAAAACTGAAGAAACGACGATTTTCTCACGTTCTCCATGCATTTCTGACCGCAGTTGGAACCTCCGGGCGTTCGCCGCTAGTCGCCGAGAGACGGCGTTCTAGATTGCGCTACTCTGCTCCGAAGGAGCTATATAGTGCTCTAGTTGGAACCTCCGGGCGTTCGCCGCTAGTCGCCGAGAGGCGGCGTTCTAGATTCGCTACTCTGCTCCGAAGGAGCTATATAGACCTTTTCCACAAGGGCGCTGCCATCTTGAAATGTCGTCACTTCCAGTATGGGCAAAAACGTTACTGTGCCGTCGCCACGCCAATAGAACACATTTAGGATATAAGCCTAACCGTCAAACGTTCTCGTTTTGGCTCTGCTCTATTTTTTTACTGGTTACAAGTTGAAACGTTTTACTATTTTGTCGTCGCCCATACTGGAAGTGACGACAATTCAAGATGGCGGCGCCCCTGTGGAAAAGGTCTATAGTGCTCTAGTTACATCATCAGAGCAGTTTCGTGAACTTCAACAATTCACGAACTTACCGGTGGAAAGATATTCACGTTCCTTTCGAAGCTTTCTTTTTGAAAAGCACGCAGATGTACGGCCTCGCGTTAACGCTAAACTAAACCATATACCCGGCTTCGCCGGTGGGGCGCGGCTGGGCGCGGTTGAGGAATACGAAACTGCGCAACAACCAGATTTCCGAGATTTCGACAGAAGGGAAGTTAATGCAGCGTAATGAGTTTATTGCTTTGTATAAGCGTTAGAATAGCTCATAATTTAGTTTACAACGTTAAATTATCACTGTTTATATTGCTGAAAGTTTTCACTCTTCGCGTTACCATGGCAACGTTGCTTTCTCTCTCTTGTGTTCTGTCGCTCTCTTTTGCGTTCGTTCACTCGGGACCCAGGATGTCGGCGCACATAGAGCACTATATAGCTCCTTCGGAGCAGAGTAGCGCAATCTAGAACGCCGCCTCTCGGCGACTAGCGGCGAACGCCCGGAGGTTCCAACTGCGGTCAGAAATGCATGGAGAACGTGAGAAAATCGTTGTTTCTTCAGTATTGTGGGAATGTACGGAATGGCAATCGTTTTTGACATAATAATGGAACATTTTAGAATAATTTGCGCTAAGTTTTGTGCCCCGCAAGGACCTGATTTTTTCTTTTTTTTTTAAATTGCTTGAACGGCATTATGCAGCAGACGACACGGCGACGTCACACCATTCACGTGACCCGCTCCGGCCAACCCGAAAAGCCCATCTCCGCTGCGAGCAAAAATCGTCTGCTTCAAACGCCATTGCCTTGGAAATTGCCTTCTCAAAATTTGCACACGCGTCCGATATTACTAAAACTTTAATAAAGTGTTTAGTGCTTTACTAACTTCACGACAGATTAGTTTTGAAAAGTGTGAAATCGCCATTAATTTTTTAAGGCAGTGTCTGCGTCGACCCGGTCTACGCAACGCCCAGCGTTGGGTAGACCCAGAATTCTGATTGGCTATTAAGAAAAAGTCACGTGTCTATATAAATTGAGTGAATTATTTTGTTAAGTTTATTTATATAAATTTTAAATTAGTAGAAATGAAATTATATTAGATATATGCAATGCATTCTGAGATAATTATTATGTATAATGTCACGTGTTACATTTGATGAGGGGCGGGAGAATCCCTTCGGTTTCCCGCGTTTTGACCGTTGTTTACTTTCTTCGGCTCCTGGTGTTCCTGCAACCTTCGCAAGTGCACCTCCATTTGTCGTGAATCCCCGTTTCTGAGCGTTGATCTTCCCTTCTTGGTGTCTTGTTGATTTTTTTCACGTATGTATTTCTTTCGCGAGATTCCGTTGCCTTTGTATTTAGCACAAAACTCGGTGTACCACGTGCTTTGATATCCGGGGGTTCCGTGACTGGGACAACTGGGGTTTCTTGTGGAAAGACCTTCGGCATTTTCCTATTGAAATCAGACGTGGCTGTCGAGATTCAGTCGATTCGTTCTTAAGCGGCGATTAAGCGTCTCTTCGTCATGACTGCTGAATTGACGGTCATCCTCCCGAGGCAAAGCAGCCCGCGGTGGACGTGCCGAGGTTCTGCGGGAAAGAACAAGGATGACCGGGAGACCAACACTTTCTGCAGGAGCCACAAAGCAGGCCATGGTTTCATCGAACAGCCGGGAGTGGAGCGGGATGCTGAAGGATAGCGGCGCTCACTTCAGTGAGGTCAGTCGATATGGTGAAGTTTATTTCTTCATCTGTCATTTGATTAATGCAGCACACCAGCCTCGTTCTGAAAATAAGGATGCAGGGGTAAATGTTTGGCAAGCAGAGGCAGTTTGTGTGCTATATAGATCAACGTGAAATATTTGCAGTGGTAGGCTCATAGGTTTAACCTCCAGTTAAGACCATAACATGCTCTGCATGCTGACGTTGTTATTATATCTTTCTTATGTTGACATCTATTATGCTTAACATACTCTTTGTCGCATCCCTACGAAAGCCCCAACAGAAGGGTGGGCCAGGTAATGGGCGAAGTCACATAGATCACTTTCTCCAAGCCCTTAATCTAATGACTAACAAGCCTACCTTCACAATTTTGTGCTTGAACCACAGTTTGCTCTTGCAACAGCGGCCACGGGGCAACCGTTGCCAACTGCACCACCTTAAAGCCCCTTTATGTTTCAAAAGTAGCGCAAGGTGCGCCGATGCACGAGGTACGTGCTACGTGTAGCCCTTGGGAAGATCATGGCAGCACAGCGCAGCACTGAGCTAAATTTCAGCCGCCATGTTCTTCCCAGAAGGTGGTGCGCGGCGCAAGTCTCGAGCATTTCCACAGCAATGAATGGTGCCGCTTTTCCCAGGATAGAGGGGCTTTACACCACCTACGAGCCATCGGAGCCAATCCAAGGCCCTGTGAGTGTTAAAGCTGATCCACACATACAGCGGAGCGCTCAGCGCTTTATGAGCGCTGGATGCAGCGCTCGGTTGTCGCTTTAGCAGCACAGTGTAAGCGCGCTCCTTGTGTCGTGCTTGCTGCTGCGAAACAGCGCATACACGGTGATTCCGTTGTTATTTTTCCTTTGGCACTGAAAGAAGAGGAAGTAAAAGAGCCGCTCTCCAAGCAAAGGGTCGGGCAGACGATTCAGAGTCATGGACTCTGAGCGACTAATTGATTCGGTACGACCTTATCACTTTCTATTCGACATGCGTGATCCTGGTTTCAGAGACACACAGTTAAAAAATAATCACCTTCGAAAGAGCTCGGTCCCTCGGCTTGGGAACGAGGTTCACCGGATAACCGTCGATATCTCGGTGGCGAAAGATTTCGCGCACTCAGAAGGCTCTTCTGGGCGTTAAGTCGTCCACACACATATGCACTAATTGCGTATGTAAAGGCATTTGTCGCATTTCTATTTCAGCATCCCACATGTCCGCCATGGTACTGTTGATGCACACCCAACCACAGGAACCTGAACATCAGTACACGTGCTAATCTGCAGCAATAACGGTCGTACAAGGAGCGCTACAAAAGCGCTGATTGCGCGCTATATTAGAACTAAGTCACGCGCAAGGAAGCACCACATGAGCACTCACGTAGCGCTAACTTAACGCTCCGCTGTATGTGGGACCAGGCCTTTACTTGACCTTGAAGAGGGTGACATGCGTAGAGCATATCACGTGCTACGTTCGCAGAGCTGGGTTGGCTGAGATGGCTTGGAGCATCCGCTGCAGTGGGACGTTACAAAAATACACATTGATGCTATAGTTGTTGAAATAGGGGAAGTACTCTCACTGTCAGTGGACGATTTTGCAAATGTGGGTGCTTCCAGTAAACACTGTAGAGAATGGACCCTTCTCCTGTTTTCCGGTTCGAGAGTACAAAATGCATGTGTTGCTGGGCTAGGTGGAAACAAGGCTGCCATTTTGCTTGAAGCAAGGGCACTGTGCGATTCCCAGTGTCGATGCCAAAGTCTGTGTTGCGTTCAGATGACGGGATCGGCACCGGCCGGGGGAGGGGACGAGATTTTTTTTTTTCGGTTTCCTTCGGAGAAATTGAATCTTGATAGAAGAGCGGCGTGAATTTGCACGGTTATGGTGTACTAGATTCTAGTACAGCATAGCACAGTGAAGGGGATTGACTTGTCAGGCCCTACAAAGGCTTGGGAGGCAAATGAGCCTACCCGACTACTGTAAACAATTTAATTTTTCGCAAATTTCATGACTTATAAATTGCTGCGAAAAACGCATCCCACCAATATATGGTAAAGAATATATGGCTCACCACTCCTCGCAAAATTTTCTGCGCATGAAATATTCTCCAAATTTGCGAAATATTGAGGCCGCAAAAATAAAGTTGTTCACAGTATGGGGAGCTAATTAGTCGTGGGTTAATAACATTAACGGCACTTTAGAAAAGCACTTCGGAAAGTTGCGCGATTGTTACAATGATGCTTTATTAGACAAGAAAAGCATAGCTATAGACCCTTTCAGGCAACATTTCATGGGCGCTGGCATCTTGACATTACGTGACCCTGCCACCATAGCCGACCTTCAGTTTCTCGCCGTTCCTCCGCGTTGTGTGCTGCACAGGCCACTACCGGAGCTTTGCTTTCGTGTTCTTTCACATTCCGCGTTGAAATTGTGTGTCTTTTCGATATTTCGGGCTTTTGTTTAATCATTTGATATCTATATTTCAACACCAGCTCTTGTATTTTCGTATTTATGAAATGGAATCGGACAGCGAATGGATCGACGATAAAAGATTATAGTTTCAGAGACCATATAAGTTCATCCCATTCTAGCGTTTTTCTCGCTAATAAAGGGCAGTCTACACCACTGCGACATATGCAAATTTCAACTGACGCAGTAAGGCTATCCAGTCGTGCTTCTCGCTGCATGTGCACACTTGTTTCCGTAAAGCCGACCCGCATGTAAGCGATTTAGCTTGCGACGAGACAAGCGGTGGCGACAACGACAAGAGTCAGCGGCGAGCGACGGAGATTTCTTACTGTCGCTTGTCGTGTTACTCGGTTTTTGGGTTTCTAGAAAACGTCGCTCACCGTCCTGGTTGCTTGCTCCGTCATATCCGTGCGGTTTGCCTCGTCACGCGACTGACCCAGCGACAGCGAAGCGGGTCACCGTCGCTTGTCTCGTTGCTCGCCAAATCACTTGCATGCAGTTTATACTTAAAATCGAGGCGCCAGTGGTTCAACATTGTGTGCTTGGAAATTAATTGAGTATAAACCACATGTAAGCGCTTTGGCGAGCAACAGCGACCCGCTTCGCTGTCGCTCTGTCAGTCGCACGACAAGGCAAACTGCATGGAAGCGACGCCGAAGTAACCAAGACTGTGAGCGACGTTTTCTAGAAATCCCGAAAACCGAGCGATGCGACGAGCGACAGTGAGAAATCTCCATCGCTCGTCTCGTCGCACGCTAAATCGCTTACATGCGGGTCGGCTTTACGGAAACGAGCGCGCACATGCAGTGAGAAGCACGACTGCGATGGCCTTACTGCGTCAATTGAAATATAAGACTTCTGGGGTGGCGGTCTCCTACACTCTCCTATGCAACCGGGTGCCACCAAGTTAACAAATCAGCGGCCATCTTGCTCAGGGCAAAAAAAGGCTGCGCTGTTGCTTTTGGGGCTGCATATTACAACGAAAACAAAACAATTATTTTTTTGTTTTAAAGAACTCGAAAGCCGCTTAACGTTGGATTCTTTTTTCTCGGATATCTTCTTATTGCAAATAATCCATGTCGTGGTAATTAATTCGTAGCGTCCTTCTCACAATTGCGGATATTTGTGCACGTGACCGATCACCAAAACCGGCACTTTGAGAATTTACAAAAATATCAAGCTCGCAAAAATTGTTTATAATACTTGTTTTGCAGATGCACAACTGTTATAAGCACACCGTCTCGAGTTTTAGATGAAACTAGCTAAAATACAAAATAAGTGTTCACAGTCACTATGATACTCACTGCTTTCCGCAGGTATGCTGGAAATGAAGGAAACATAAACATAGTTGGAATGCTACCCGGTCGAAGTCTTCTCGCTTGACCGCTTGTGTCAAAGCAGTCATCTTCGAAGTACGCTGTAGTGTTTTCAAATTCTTCTACTTCCTCGTCCAATCGAAGTTGATGGCACGACTGTGCGCCCTGGGAAATAAAAGAAAAAGAAAAAAGAGGGAGCACGAGAAAAAAGGATTCGAGACAAATTCTGCCTGACAGATCGGGTGTCCTGTGTGATTCTCTCGTTCGGGTTGAGCTCGCTCGACTCAACTGGCTATCGCCGGCAGAACTTCAAATGAGGTGAGCGGGCTTGGAGCAACCTGCCCTAGGCTACGTCAAGATGAACACTCGGCCCAGCGACGTACGCCCATAGAAGATTCACCTCGCAAAATACAAAATGCGCCGAACAAGGGACGTCAGTATTCTTGCGCAACCAACCATCCCCCCCACTGAACAAGAAACGTCAGTATTCTTGCGCAACCAACCATCCCCCCGCCGAACAGCATGCTCCCTCGCAGCATGCAAAGTATTGTCTTTAGGAAACCAGCGACGTGCAAACATGTTTAAGGTTTTACTCTTGCGGTTAAAATGCATCTAATCATCTAGCTTTCTCCCGTGAGCCTGTTCGCATGCAGTAGTAAGCTATTGGTCTCGGGATCGACCTAGAGGTGGCGCTGCTGTCGTGCTATCATCATTATCAAAGCGAGGATGGACGCATTGCTGTCCCATAGGCTCTCCACGTTCGCGTGCGAAACGGTGTAAATTCTTGCATTTATTTTGTTGCACAGTATCGGTGGGAAAACAATTTTAGCGGAAAGTGGTACAATACCGTTCGGTGCGTCAGTAAAGATTGAATTGTCTTACCAGCGTGCGGCTTAAGTATAAATAACCACGTGTGTGGATCAGTCGTCTGCCCTAGGCAGACGTTGGGAAGCATGGCTCACTACGACGGATGCCTGTCTTTAGGTAAACTGCACTATTTATGTTAAAAATTTCTTTCTTTTAAAATAGTTCTGTCGGTTCACCAGCGTGGGAATTTAACAAATTAATTAATTGCGACCCGGATAACATAATATGGGTACTGTGGACTGTGAAATGGCAGGTTCTATGCATTTTTGTTTTTGCAACTTTGAGCTTTTTTCAGTAATATAAATATTTAGCATGAAGAGAAGCTAGTGCTGTATCATAAATTACCGTGCTATTGAGTTCTGCTGCAGCCTGTTTCCCTTTACTGTGCTATGGCGTGGGTAAGCTTTTCGGAGTCGGAACAATTTTACTACGTTGCGATAAGGAGAGAGTGCCTCTTCTAGTTAACGATCCGGAAACTGATCATTGGCAGGACAACTGAAGCTAGTGAAACAAACTATTCTAATATATCTGCCGCGATAAGGACAAACGGGTGTAACCAAGCAAGGCAGTAGCGTGCGTGCTATTAGATGCTTTTCTCGGTAGTGTGGGTTCACCCGCTTCAATTTTCTCGGTGAGGGTTGTGGATGTCAAAAAGCCAATATTATAAATTTCTGACTAAATAATCTTCTATTTAAATATAGTAGACACTGTAACTCCATCAAATGACCCGCACCACGACGTCGCCGGCATCGGCCGCAGCGACGGCCTTTTACCGATGAGGGCTAGGGACTCTCACGAGACCCTAACCATAGCCTTTAGTAGGAAGAAACGACAGCAATAGCAACAAGCGTTGAATGAGGAGGGCTCAGCTCAGGCGGAAACGGACTTGCATCATCAAGATCCGAAATTGGGTTGTGTGTATGTTTATACAGCCTGGAACTTGGTATGCCTCAAAGGGCGACGAATCTCGCAGCTGTAGATGAGCAATTTAGCGAGTGCAGTACAACCGCTAGCTTGGGGTAACGTGCACCACCCAGTAGTGATACACCAGGCACGTAGCCAGGGGGAAGGGGGCCCATGGGGCCTGGCCCCCCCCCCCCCCAAATCTTCCATTTTGCTGGGGCCTCCCCTCCCCCTCATTCAGCATTTTGTAATGGGCGGCCGCTGACTTTCCTTCTTCATCACAGTGGAAAGGCTGAAAGTTTTAAATTCGCACCGAACCTGAGCGCACTGAACGTAGTAACTTAATAAAACTTTTCTTTTATTTGAATCTCGCTTTATTCTAAAAGTTATAGGCAAATTCAAATTACTAAAACAAGCAAAAAAACACCTCCTTCGTGACGTCCTTGGTCGCTTGAGTGGCCGTGAACTAGAGGAGGGGTAGTGAGCTCAGCGAGCGCTCACCGCTGCTGCACTCTGCGTCAGCGGCTCGAGAGGGCACCACTAAAGCATGTTCTGGGTAGGCTGTATGAAGCGGGCAGCCAGGGCAGCTCGCATTGCATTTGCTGCGAGATTAAACACTAATTTGGCATGACACTTCATTGGCCACGAACGACAGCAAACACGGGATAAAGATCAGTTCAGAACAGCAGTCACTTCGCGCTGCCATACTGCCAAACCTGCTCCGAAGGCCTTCGGAACTGGTCGGATCCTCGACCGCAGCGGCGCCGGGTACATTCAGGACCTTTCTACGCTCACCGCTGTACTCTGTTTCACCTTATGATGTACCGCAGGAAAGGCTACAAGCACGAGCTCCTTGCTCTGGGGCACATCTTGGCGGCACAAGCTCTCGTGACTTAATTAAGAGTGGCTGCCAACACTATGAGCTCGCGCTTTTAAAAAGAAGCTTTTAGCGGCTCTGACCAGTATTAAGGCCAGGACCAAATACGACACATAGCATGCACTTTCAGCACCGCGGGTCGCCTTTGTAGGTAAAGAAGGTGTCCGCGTCGTCCGCTTAAAATAGGATGCACTGATATTTAGTTATTCTCTCCGTGCCCGCTGGCTTGCCCGAACCTCAAGAGATGTGGAAACCACAAAAAAGGTAGACGCTTAAATATGATTGCAGGGCCCCTTTAATGATACCTGCAATTTTACATAACAGATGACGGGACAATCAATCAAATGCTCGGCGAAATCCAAAAATACATCTATATCTCCCCTACTATCAATGCACTGGCTGCAATCGTCAAAGACATCAATAAGCCGTGTTTTTTTTTGTTTTTTTTACATGAGGTAGTTTTATGGTATTTTTGTGTCAACGGCAGTTTGTGCGCCTTTGCGTCTAATATCTGCAAGATAGTATATGTGAAGCAATATGTATTAGTGCAAAGCGCTGTTTCCTGACTAGTAATGTTATGAACTACTCTGGCATACCACTGCTAAAGGGTCAATTGCAGTGCCAGTTTACCTTTTCATAGTAGAGTGAATATTTATAATAAAAATGAACAGGTTTTCAGTGACATTTCTAATAAAAAAATGATCTACAACAGTGGTTTTTTGCTTTCGCTCGGTACGAAAGCATGCAGTTGCCATTCTTAATCTTCATAAGATGACGTTGCCAGCATGATCAACAGATGAGTTTTAACCTGGGTTACAAATGATGCGACGAGTTAAATATTTGTATGAATTTCCTTTCCTTCCACTTCAAAATTAGGGATGACCTATATTCAAATGCTTTTACTCTCAACAATTTTGATTACTTGTTGAATGTTCAAACTAACTTGTAAAGCTCCTTGCTGTCAATTCACTTTGTTTAGGGGATCATTATCCAAGAGTTCTTGTTTTTAAAACTAGTAACACACTCCTTAGTGCACTGAAGCGGTGTATGTCTGTTCCACGTGGTCTAAAATTGATGGTTACGGTGCTTGTACTGTGACAGTTCTTTTCTCTTGCAGCCCAGCGTGAACCCCACCATTGGCGTTCTGGGCAGCACTCTGAATAAGCTGCTTCAGTTGTGACTTGTAGCACAAAGTTTCTGTCACCCAGTTCATCGTCATCTCGGAACCGAAGGCATTGGTCCTGCTTGCTAGTCACCACTTGAATAAAAGTTGGAATGGTGCAGTGTGTTTGTGTAAATAAACTGTTGAAGTTGTGACAGTATTTTTGTTTTTGTAGGTAATGAGAATTATTTACATTAAAAGATCCTATTCATCCATCCATCAATGATCCTTCATGCCATAAAGTATGTACTGTTCCCAAAGTAAAATTTGACAGTCTGGCAGCTGCCGCTGGCCTGGAAAATTGTGAGGGCTCACGCCTGTAAACTACATGTATTGCTTTGTGAACCTCCTTCTAGTCCCTTGTGTACCTGAAAACTTAGGAGGTCAGTTTCAAGTCGAAGGGGGATAGCCTATTTTTATTTACAAGGAAACTTTTGTACTTGCATATGCATTATGACCCATAGAGGCTGAACTCCATGGGACGAATATGCTGTGAAAAATCTAATTTTGCCCGGCGGCTTTTGTTCTGCGCATGGAATCGGCACAGTGGCTGCTACGTCCCGCGCAAAGTGAGCATGCCGTAGGGCGACATTCGTCAGTCATTTGTCGCATATTTCGCTCTATGGAGTTCAGCCTTAAGCTGTTGCTTTCTGGGACTGGGAGGACTGAGGTTTTCATGTTCCAGTATAATAACAAGTTACGTTCAACAGATGTATGTTTGAAAAGTAAACATTTTGGCAAAATTCTGCCTGGTTAGGTGAGTATTAATAAAAGAAGCTGCAGGTACTCTAACCAGCTGTGTTTAAATAGCCCAACGTTTCGTGGCCTACTTGTTCACGGGTGACTTATTTGGCTGGGTGTTTGTCTTTCTCTTCTCCTTGTCGCTGCCTTTAAATCGATCTCTCCTTTTTGTGACGCCTAGATGCCCGTGAATATAACTGCTTGGGAAGGTACTGGTTTAGGTTCTTTGTATTTCTAGGTTCGGAAGGAACTGAAAAAAACTACTTTTTATAGTTATAGCTTATTCAGCATACAAAGAACAACCAGAACAGGTCGATCGATACCATCCCAAGCAGTTATATCCACGGGCTTCAGGGTGCAACAAAGCGAGGAGAATGATTTAAACGGCAGCGATAAGGAAAGAAATACAAACTCCCAGCCAAATAAGTCGCCCGTGAACAAGCAGGCCACAAAACGTTGGGCTATATGAACACAGTTGGTTAGAGTACCTGCAGCTTCTTTTATTAGCAGATGTATGTTAAAAAAAATCAAAATACAAATAGCTTAGGCTTCACAGCATATGCCTAGGCTATTAGGTATTTAAAAGGAAAACAAGGATGAAAATAGTAAAGGTGTGAAATGGCTAACTCAAGATCGAGTTTTAAAAAAATTGGATACAAATATTGCACTTTTTTTAAGTATGACTTTCCACCGTTGTTAATTCAGCCTTTATTTCTCTATTGGCAAGTACTAGGCAAGATACAAGTTCTCACAATGCTGCCTTTTTGATAGTGTGCAAAGACTGAAGTGATCAAAACATTTTCCAAATTTAGTTATGCAGTTTTGCACCGTTTCCTACTTCCTTGCTTAATTAGGTATTTATATTTCGCTCATTTTACACACTAGTCGCCCTCAATAAAATTAACACTGACCTAAGTCGGGGAGGAAAATAAAACCGGACATCCTTCGTGCTATGGGTTTTAGTTGGGCTAGTTGGTACATACTGTTGACAATCGGGTCATCTGAACACGGAAAAACGGGACACGAAGGAAAGGACTGGACAAACGGCGGTCCATTTGTCCAGTCATTTCCTTCGTGTCCCGTTTTTTCGTGTTCAGCTGACCCGATTGCCAACCCTACGTGCCTGCATAATTACAAGGGAGCTTCTCCCTTAGCAGGCAAGTACTGCGGGAAAGTAGTAGGGAGAGGGGCTCCTCCGTTATTGTCCCAATACCGCTGGTCCCCATTAAATAAAAAAAGTGCGCGTGTAGCTGCACTTCTTTTTTTTGTGTGTGTGTGTGTGTGTGTTTCTTGCCTGAGTTGGTGAGTTTAGTAATTAGGAAAACCAGAAAGCTCCCATACAGCGGCCGTGCACCGCGTAGTTGGGCTTCTCTCCGGCGCGACGGGGAAAGTACGCCCAAGGGAACCATGGAACGTTTTTCTTCGTTTTAAATAATGCAGACTCTACGTAATCGCTGGTGTGGATAATGCATAATAAGCTTTTGTTTCAGACTTTATCATTCTTGCGGAATCCAAACGCTGAAAAAACGGGCACAAAAAACTGAAATTTCATGTCGGATTTTATTTTCAGTGCATCAATCATCCGATATCGCGGTAATTGTTAAGTATACTTCGGGTGTCGAAAAAGGGCCCTCGTATATTTTTCGAGCTGAAATATACATTCATATAGAACAAACTTTTAAACTAACCAGTTAGAAAACATTTCTCGTCCGTGTTCTTATGATAGGCCCAAATTCACCAATTATTTAGGTAATCTTTCCTTATATATATATATATATATATATATATTTTTTTTTTTTTTTTTTTTTTGCTGTAGTTGAAAGGGTATGTTGCTGTTACCCTCCGCGCGCCCTTACCTTATTGAGACCGGAGGGGCTAACTAGAGCACTATATAGCTCCTTCGGAGCAGAGTAGCGCAATCTAGAACGCCGTCTCTCGGCGACTAGCGGCGAACGCCCGGAGGTTCCAACTGCGGTCAGAAATGCATGGAGAACGTGAGAAAATCGCTGTTTCTTCAGTTTTTTGGGGATGTGCGGAATGGAAATCATTTTTGACATAATAATGAAACATTTTGGAATAATATGCGATAAGTTTTGTGCCATACAAGGACGTAACTTTTTTTAAAAAATTGCCTGAGCGGCGTCATGCAGCAGACGACACGGCGACGTCACACCATTCACGTGACCCGCTCTGGCCAACCCGAAAAGCCCATCTCCGCTGCGAGCAAAAATCGTCTGCTCCAAACGCCATTGCCTTGGAAATTGCCTTCTCAAAATTTGCACACGCATCCGATATTATTAAAACTTTGATAAAGTGTTTAGCGCTTTACTAACTTCACGACAGGCTAGTTTTGAAAAATGTGAACTCGCCGTTAGTTTTTTAATCAGCCGCGTTATGTCGATCTCCATGTATTATCCCATAGGGCGGGCCGCCTCCTGGAACCCTGAGTACCACGTGACTCGCGCCGAGCCGCTCTGTCGGCCATGTTGTCGGCAAAACACGGGGTTCAAAGGATTGCGCTACTCTGCTCCGTAGGAGCTATGTAGTGCTCTAGGGCTAACGGCTGCATATATATATATATATATATATATAAACCCATTTCTGACTCTTGTCCAACCGCCGGCTAGCTGAACAAAGCGAGATGTCCGTCGTCCCAAAATTAGTCTACTCCGTTTGACCTTACGATGGGCCGCAGCTGGATTGACTGGGATCACCCGTAGCGTACGCTACGCTCTATGTCAACATCGTGCACTCATTTTCACCGAAAACCAACGCGTCTAAAGAGAACTTACAACCCTTCCACACTTTCTAGAAACGTGAAGATGACATGTATTTCAGTCAATTAAGAAATATTTGCTTATGTTATCTGCGGAAGTTGGCACAAATTCTACTATACAATGCAGCACACGTACATACATATACGTATATATATATATATATATATATATATATATAAAACTGAGAAGAAAAAACCCTTAGTGAAAAACAGCAACAACGGACGATTTAATCTTCGACGTTTCGGCCGGAGTCCGGCCTTCGTCAGGAAGGAAGTCCGGCCTTCGTCTTCCTGACGAAGGCCGGACTCCGGCCGAAACGTCGAAGATTAAATCGTCCGTTGTTGCTGTTTTTCACTAAGGGTTTTTTCTTCTCAGTTTTATACCCACGCCTTCGGCCTCCCGCCACCATGCCCGTTATATATATATATATATATATATATTACACAATATCACAACGCAGTGCCAGCAATGTTTTGCGGCTTATACGCGGGGCCATGGGCTAAAGGTGCACCTCTCCGGTAAATACCGGGTGAAACAAGGAGACGGTAGGCTCTTTAAATCGACCGGAAAATTCGGTTTCTTAACCTATCGCGCTACGACTTTGTGCAGCGTTGCCCACAGATGGTGCATTTTTTTTGTAAAATTTGCAAAGAGCGAACTTACCTGAGGAAAAAGTAAAGAAAGAAAAAGGCTTAGCTCCTATGGAATTTCAGCGACGCCACCGGTCTTCAAACAACACGGCGCCGTTTTGCACGGTAGACAAGAGATGGCGCAACGAACGCCGCCAACGTACGCCAACGAATGAGCATACGGCGCCGAGAGCCAGCGTTTTTAGCAGACGATCTTTTCGAATCAAAAGCGGCGCGCGTTCCGCAAACGGCGACAGTTGCAGAAACAAAAACAGGCGCGGTAACAACAAGCAACTGCAGTTCCTTGTCTGCTATAAACGCCGGTTCTCGGCGTCGTCTGCTCGTTCGTTGGCGGCAGTTGGCGTCGCGACCGCTTGCGCCATCTCTTGTCTACCGTGCGAAACGGCGCCGGGTTGATTGCAGACCGGTGGCGTCGCTGCGTTTCCATAGGAGCTAAGCCTTTTTCTTTCTTTACTTTTTCCTCAGGTAAGTTCGCTCTTTGCAAATTTTACGAAAAAAATGCACCATCTGTGGGCAACGCTGCACAAAGTCGTAGCGCGATAGGTTAAGAAACCGAATTTTCCGGTCGATTTAAAGAGCCTACCGTCTCCTTGTTTCACCCGGTATAATCGATTTTGCAGTATTACATAAGCTTTCGTCTGTAACAAAAATTTAAACTACGCTTGCGTGACTCATTTTTAAAACAGGAAAATTGTCTAAATAGTTCTTCAGGGAAAAAACAGGAGTCTCCAATGAAAACAATATTTGTTGTTTGCTATAATCTGATGGAATGCATTTATATGGTTTTCACACGGCCATACACCACTTTTGGGCCGTGCCAAGGCGCCCCTAATTCCACTCCCTCTCCTCCCATTCTACCCATTACCCTTTCTTGCGTAAAAGCAACCTTTTTTTTTTTTTTTTCATTTCGGTAAAACACTGGAGATTAGGTGAAGACATGCAAGACCGTCACGAATCA